GTTGCTTCATTGGTGAAGCGGTATACATGTTGCTGCAGGTGTAGCGGTACACATGTTGCTGCAGGTGTAGCGGTACACATGTTGCTGCAGGTGTAGTAGTACACATGTTGCTGCAGGTGTAGCGGTACACATGTTGCTGCAGGTGTAGCGGTACACATGTTACTGCAGGTGTACCGGTACACATGTTGCTGCAGTTGTAGCGGTACTCATGTTGCTTCATTGGTGAAGCGGTATACATGTTGCTGCAGGTGTAGCGGTACACATGTTGCTGCAGGTGTAGCGGTACACGTGTTGCTGCAGGTGTAGCGGTACACGTGTTGCTGCAGGTGTAGCGGTACACGTGTTGCTGCAGGTGTAGCGGTACACATGTTGCTGCAGGTTTGGTGGTACACATGTTGCTGCAGGTGAAGCAGTACATATGTTGCTGCAGGTGAAGCGGTACACATGTTGCTGCAGGTGTAGCGGTACACATGTTGCTGCAGGTGTAGCGGTACACATGTTGCTGCAGGTGTAGTGGTACACATGTTGCTGCAGGTGTAACGGTACACATGTTGCTGCTGGTGTAGCGTTACACATGTTGCTGCAGGTGAAGCAATACACATGTTGCTTCACATTAACATCGTTGCAAGGTGTTTTTCTTTACAAAAAAATCTGGCTCATAGTTTTAAATAAACAATATCTGTTTTTTAGCCGTAGCTTAAACAGTATCCAGACTCGATACAAAATTCCAGCTTTCCACACCGTCCACCAAAGCGATACAGTTACCGCCAAACACATTGATTTGCATGGAAACCTCAAGGTTATGGCTTAAATGCAATGCATGTTCCAGCTAACGACTTTTCTTTAGACATCCATTACCTTCTGTGGAGAAATGTGATTATGGTGCTGATCGCTACGCCAAGCATGTGGCTGATACATATGGGTTGGACTTGACCTCAACTCGATGATTTGAGAACTGCTACGTTGTATGATTTAGAGTTGTTGAAGACTGCACAGTCAGTTGATTCGGGGAACTGGAGTGATTTGCTGACTGCTTATCTCAGTTAAAGAGATAAACTGTCTACTTTGTAATTAAAGGTTCTGAGGAGAGTGTGAATTGTGGTTCCAAGTGAGTGACTTGACACTTAAAGTTCTTAACATTGCTCATGGCTCATGAAACCAATCAACTTATTGTACGGACAAAACAGTGTTTTCGCGCAAGATTCTTTCAGCCAAATAGAACGTAGAACATATGTACATCATGTATATTGAATCAACCGTTATAGTAGTAGTAGTAGTGGTTTATTTCAGTAAATCAGGCCACAGGCACATTTTACAATATATATATTCAAGCATTCAAACATGTTGCGCCACAAGTGCATGTAGTAATATCAATACTAATCAGTACAAGGGTATCTGAGACCATATACATATGGTGGTGGAATTAATAGTCTATATAATGGACAACTGCTTGCTCCTCATTTTAAGAGCAAAGAATGTAAACTTGGCAAGATTATTGATTGTGAAAGCATTACTGGTGGTAAATAAAACCTTACATTTATGCTCTGATGGAGATGTATAATAACAACTTGGCAGAAAGTTTCTTCTAAGATCGTCATAAAACGGACAAACTAAACAAACATGGTATTCTGTTTCTACACTTGAAATGATACAAAATGGACAAAGTCTTTCACACTTTGGAATACCTAACTTTCTACCCTGTGATACCATAAGATCACTGCTCGACGTGCGAAACTGTGAGAGAATAATCCTAAATGCAGCAATTTTCACAACACTTAAATAATTTTCATATTCATTTGATAGCTTAATTGTTTTATACAAATATAATGAAGATAATTTGTCAAAAGATTCAAAGAGACACTGGTTATCAATATCAATACATCTTGTTCTAAAAGAGGATATAAATGAATGGATACAAGAAACTGATTGTCTATTCCAAATTTCACCATATCCAAAGGATAATAACAGATTTTTAACTTTCAGTTATAAGAGGATACTCCTTTACTGCCTACTGAACCATCACCAAGAACGTGGTCAAAGGTTGCCATTGATATTGTTGGTCCTGTAGGAACACATTTCTTGTTCACGATGGACTATGTTTCATCTTATCCATGTGCGGTGTTGATCCTAAACATTACCTCCACTGTTATAGAAGGACTGGTGAGGTTATTGTCGGAGCACTGGTTTCCTGATGGTATTGTAACTGACAAAGGTAGGCAGTTTGTCAGTGAACAGTTTACAAAGTATATCCGAAAGACTGGCGTCATACATATTCGTTCATCACCTCATTTTCCAAAATAAAAGATTTATCGTTTTCATAGACTTCTGAAGAAATCATTTCGCACATCTGGTAGTGGTGGAAGACACTGGAAGAGATTTCTTCCCATCATACTTCAGATGTATCATGCTACTACTTATCGTGCAACTGGTGAGACTCCAGCTATATTGTTTCTCAACAGGGATATCAAGACCAAATTGCCTGTGCTACATTCCGTTGAGCCTGATCTTTTGTTGAAATATGCAGAGAAAACGAAAGCATATGCAGAGAAGAAGCATGCCGTGACACAACTTTTTGTTTAGACCACGATTAGATAGCTTAAATTGCTACATACAGTTGATACTGACCTAGTTCCAAAAGAACTCATGCCTAATACAGCTTCGCCTACACATGTGACAATGCTTGTGACAGATAATGGATCTTCTGATTTTGTTGCTGGTAGATCAAGAATTGACGAGGGACTTGATTTAGATTGTGTCATTGTTGGACCCGGTGTAAAGTCTGAAAGTATGAAAGTATACCCCCCGACCCGACCCCGGGGTAGATTCTGTGAATGTATTACACCCATCTGACTATATTTAGAAGAATAAGAATGTAGATGGACAAATAATTAGATGATTTGGGGGGGGGGGGGGGGGGCAGCTTACACCGGGAGTCCAGTGGGTAGTTGGGTAGTGTTCCAGACGCTAATGTGCCTGTAGATGTTCCACCACAATCCCAGAGATTGCCTGATGCGCCAGTTCATTTGAAACATAATGTGTTGACATGAACGTTCACTGTTGCGGATCTACAACATGTTCAACATGCAGCATGTGCTGAAGTGGCGTTTTGACTTTTGGAACAAATTCATACCATGTCTTGACAGTGTTCATAAACGGATAAACTATGTGTCTTGATGTTAGTAAATAGGTCCACATAATTTCTTCCATATCACCTTTGGAAAAGACAACATTCGTTAGCCTTTGATGCTAAGTTTGCGGGTTTGAATCTAACCGGAGGCACAAGATTTTTAGAAATTGTTATATAATCACGGTAAATGATAGGTAACACAAGTTGTTCCGTCATTGCCAAGTGGTGGTAAATTCAGTTCCTTAAGCCATAGTTTTTCAAGTGACATACCTGTTTGTTAAACCAAAATGCAACACAAGGTTGTTATGCCAGAAGGCTGACTCATCTGGATATACAGGCATTTCCTCTGACTCATTTTTTGTGGAAAGAAAACAGAGGGTGACGTGATCCTTAACAGTTGTGTAGGATACATGTGTATCCATTATTACCAGCTTAACTCTCTATTTCATTTTAGCATGCAATCTGTTTCTGTTTGCATTATTTGCAAATAACCTGTGCCTTTATTGTTTGTCAAAGGCAAGAAGGTCAAATCTGTTCACAATGGAGAATGTAATATTTCTTGGTCGGACACGGGGTGGGATGGTATGACTTGTGTATTAAGGAAAGATGGTGAAGCCTAGTGCTTAAAATGTTCAGTTCCAAACAGCGTACAATGTGAGAAGCTTATTCATGTTGTCCCCAGCTTTGATATTACTATGCCACCCATACAAACAAAGGCAAGTCAACTGATCATCTGAAAAAACACGGGAACATATGGTACAAGTGAAAATGGGAAACTGCATTGGGCATTATTTTGGTCACTGATGCGTCAAATTTAGAAGTATTCTCAATGTGTCTACCAGAAGTGATCAAAGTAGGACACGTTTTGCAATTTTTTGTACCATGTGAAGAATTACTGCATGGAGATGGGTTAAAAAGAAAAATGTCTCCAACTTTACTAAAGAGTTTTTGCTGATGTCAGTAAATATATCTCCCCAAGGACCTCAAAATGAACCATCTTACAGCGGCTCCGCGTGGGTTAGTTTTATTGTCTTGGCCCAAACAGTTTTTCTTTTGTCTTTTTTAGTAAATGTTACCAAGTTAGTGATATGTCTCGGGGTCAAAATGGCATGGTTCAAGTACATAAAAGAGACAAAAATATTTTCATAAACATAAGATTTTTTAACTAACATCCGAGTCCTTTGTACAATACCGACTATATCATGAGCATGTGTTTATGAATCATCATCAAATAGTGATGATACCAGGTGTTCGCGAAAGATGTGCTGGCAGTCAAGTAACAGTCTTGGTGTTACCATAGCAGCAAATATTCTAAAAATATCTTAGCATTTAAAACGCCCAACACACTTTTGATATGAATATATAGAGAACAAGGCCTTTGTGGCTTTAGACACAAGGCAAGATTAGAATTTATCCAAATCACTTCGGGCTTAGGGAATAAATATAATTCCAACATATCTGCAAAAGGTCCAAACTTCAAATTTTGTTTAAACTGCAGAGTGGTTTTCTATTAAGAAAAAACTAATTTAAGTTTTATCAAGATTTACCTTTATACAAGTTAAGAGGTAAAATCATACTAAGGTGTCAATTCTGCTTTGCAAGCCAATGTGCCTGTTTGCAAAGGATGCAACACCATCAGCAATAAATCATTATGACTAGCATTTATACAAATTGGTCACAATAATCACATGTTCCATTAACAGTACAGCTTTGTAAGAGACCAAACAATGTACCAATGAATTCTACACCAATACGGTCAATGAACATTGCGTCTGTTGCAAATGATATTCTGACTGTCTATTCTTAGCATATGTAATACTCAAGGAAAGGTAAACACATCTAATACAATCAAATAGTATCCGAAACAACTATAAAAATAGCAACACTGTATTATGACAAGAATACATCAGGATCGTTTGAAGAGACAGCGAGCATAGTTATATCTCTGTGGACAGGTTTGAACCAATCTGAAATGGAATTCAAACACAGAATAAATAACGTGTCAGCTTCAAATCATTCTCAGTCATGAAAAGGAAACATGTGTGTCTTTTTAAAATTGGCTTCAAAGTATACTGATAATTATATAAGTGGACCTTATGAATGCATTTCTGATACAAATAGATTCACCTGACATATGTTTCGCTAGTCCGAGCAGAACTATTTGTGTTTCGGAACATGAAGTATAAGTGTCAAAACCATATCCATAACACATATGAATTGTCAATGCAAGAGAATAACCACTCTAGATTTTCTGCCGAAACAGATTCCACTTGGCGTAAAGGGCAAATAGCTGTTGAAATTGTATGAATGGACCACTGACAATCAGTGATGACACCAGGTGTTCACAAAAAGGGTAAGCATGTCCTGCTCTACCCGCCATTCATACAATTTGCATAAAGGGCAAATAGCTGTGGAAGTAAGTATCTATTGCCTGACGCAGCATAGCAGTACTCCTGCCATGCGACATCTGCCTGTAAACAAACCAGACAATCAAGTGATCGATGAACTAAACAATCCAGTGACACGAGAGTACCATTTCTGATTTTGTAGAAACTAATAAAAACGGTATGTTAAGTTTGAATTACGTCTACTGTAAATCTCTGCCAAAAGCAGAGTCGATTGTACGTGGAAGAGTATCGTTATCAAATGCTCGGACAAGGCACACTGTTCGAGAACAACCGGCGAGCTACAAAGAATACTTGGTAAAGTCAGGATTGCGAGTCGGTTATTCTTTATATTACATGCAGTCTTTTTCTTAGAAAATTCAAAAACATGTGGGATTCCTGATCTGAACGTACAATGAAACCATGGATGAGGTCATCTTCAACCATATGTATTCATATGACATCATGTAGCGATGGACTTCTTTGAAACCCAATGAAGATAAGCCAATCAGAATGAGGCACACATTATGATGCCCAGGGGGTATTACTCAAATTATGTACACCTATGTCCGCATCCCTATGGGTAAAATAATACTGCATACCTAGGAGAGTTGACCACACGAGTCGGAGACCAGCTGATATTTAGGATCACTCCACGCCTGGTACCACACTGACACCTTGCACGTCATACGCTGCAGCAAAGAAACAAAGACTTACAACGCAATCCAAAATTAATAACATAAAACAAGCCATCACGAGAAATGTTATTTTCCCCGACTCCTTGTTTCTGAAGCCCATGGCCCTTATCTCTGTTTACCTGGGGCATGCTGTTGCTGGCGGGACAGTCGGTGATTCCTTTGCCGGTGTTGTCGCCGTTGTTCATGCAAATGGATGTCACAAGGTGAAGGTCAAACGAGTACTTGATGCCAGCCACAACCTGTAGACAGTCAAATTGATCTTCAACAACAGAATAACACGACCTTACGTCACATACCACACCTAGAGGATTCGATACTGGTAAGGGGCGGGACGTTTATGGGGGGGGGGGGGGGGGGGGGGGGGGGAGAGAGCCGGGTTCAGGGGGGAGAGTCAGGTTGTTGAAATATTTGTATGGTTTTTGAAAAGAGAGCTAAGATTTGTTAAGGCACACTTCAAATTCACCCTATGAAATGAATGTTAAAGTTTTCTCACTGTTCACTAAACCATGATAACTATACAAATACTATACAAATGTAAGTGCATTTGAAAAAGAACCATGAAAATAGGATTATATAAAATAATCAATAAATGACCATTATTTACAACACCATGTGTAGCAAAACCCAGACAATTTGACATGTTTGTACTCTCATCTACTGGAGGAATGTACTTGTCAGTTTCTGAAAGGATTTGGATGATGGACAATAAGTAGCATAACTTTTGATGAAAACAGAAGAAAAAAAAAAACGTTACCAAACTGAGAGTCGGCTTAAATTACACCCGATGGTATTTTTGGATGACATTGCCTCCCTTTTTCATTTCAGAGGCAGTAAAGAAATGAATTGGCGTTACATACCAATATGTAGATGACATAATACTTTCGTAAACGTTTCTGGAACATTTGAGTCACCTCAAGGCAGTATTCCAAAAGATAAATGAAGCAGGACTCACTCTTAAACCAAGCAAATGTAAATTTGCGACAAAACATGTACTTACTCTGGGCATATCTTCAGCAAAGATGGCCTTCAAAGCCTTCCAAATTAGATTCAGTCACACAGTTATGTGTCATTTCTTAGATTTGTCCTCGTATTATCACAATTTTTAGCAAACCTTTCTGGCATCGCCGCCCTTCTATACAAAGATGTGTCTTTTGAATGGTCCAACAATTGCCAACAGGCATTCGAAAAGCTAAAACAAGCCCTTACAACAGCCCCCATCCTTGCATAGCCCAACCGTAACTTGAAATGATGTTGTTATTTCATGTCTTTTGACCATACAAGTATCTGCCTGTTCTGTTGTTAGGAACAATGCTGATTGGTAACGTTTCTTTTGCTCGTCACCCCCACCCCTAGAAATCAAATGGTCTGCCCCGAAATGGGAAATATAGGCTACAAAGGGTTATATCATTAGTGCAATCCTAAGGCATTCTTTGTATGCCAACATGAACACACACGAATGGCCCGTTTAAAGTTCTTGTTATATAACACATCTAGAGTGTTCGGTAGTAAGCGTAGGGTGTAAAACGTTGCATCCTTGGTTTAATCCTTAGGGATTTCTTGTATTCCTTTTGATGAAACAACTGACTGAGGATGATCTCGTTCAATGTTATGGGGTATACCTGTTGTGTGATGTTGTCGACTTTCTCCGCCACCATCCGGAACATGTTGTTCATCTTTGCATTCAAAGCGTCTTCTGCAAACGACACAGCTTGCTGCACTGGAGCCGTGAGATTGGCGGGCTCCACACCTCCCAGAAAAAGACCTCTTTTGTTTACTGCATTGCATGAGTGTCGTGTCACATGACCCATAGAATTCATCCATACTTGCCGCCAAAGAGTGATATCACACACCTGGGTCTGTTACGACATACAGACAAGATGCAGCAGTCTATACAGAGTAAACATCAACAATATTTAAATGAAAGAAATTTGTATATTTTCCATGAAATAGATTTAATTCACTAATTGATTAATAACAGTTTCACGTCTGTGAAGCGTTGCTTCATCAAGATACTGACGTGTAGAGAATGTGCTTCACTGTCTGACAAAACAATCTGATTACGATGTGCCTAAGGTGGTAGGGGTAACAGGTGAAACTACACTTACGCTGCCTCCCTGGCGGACCCGGATCTTAAAGAAGTAGTTCGTCCCGGCAACAACCTTTAATTCCAGAGATTCATTGTGAGCGTTCAAAACGACAATTCAACATTCTTTAGCAAATATACTACCGACCAAAAATACGGGAATGATATTGTAGGTGTAATGACGAGAAATGTCTGTAAAATTTATTTAGGAAGTGAAGATCAATATCTGTTGTGTCCACCATGTTGAGGGATATAAGCACGATGCCTTCATGGCATACTGTTGATTAACTTGCATATGATTACCCTTTGTATTGCACGCCATTCCGCCTGAAGAGCTAACTCAAGCTGAGCCACGTTAGCTGGGTCTCTGGTATACACGGGACGGTCGGGTAGCCTAGTGGTTAAAGCGTTTGCTCGTCGCGCCGAAGACCCGGGTTCGATTCCCGACATGGGTACAATGTGTGAAGCCCATTTCTGGTGTCCCCCGCCGTGATGTTGCTGGAATATTGCTAAAAGCGGCGTAAAGCCATACTCACTCACTCACTCTGGCGTACACTCTCCACCCGAGAACATCCCACAGATGCTCTATTGGGGACATGTCATAGGACTTAGCGGGGTCTAGTCCAATGTACGAATACCTTCTCATCGGAGATAATCGTTGATGACCTGGACACGATGTGGTCTGGCTTTGTCATCTTGGCCAGTCAAACGTTCATTCACAATAACCAAATCCGTTTGCCTGCCATGTGTGATATCATCCCACACAATGATACTACTGCCCCTATGCCAATCGTGGTCAAGAATCATTGACATACTGCTCGCCGCTACATCATCAACAACATTGATCTTTGAATCGTAGGCAAAATCTTGATTCATCCGTAAACATGATGTAAGCTCACATAAGCGTACAGCCCGTCCCTGGTGTTGCCTAGTCTACCGCAATCTTTGCCGCCTATGATAAGCTGGTAGGGTTAACACCCTTCGCAGGACGCCTTGCTTCCAGCCGACTGCATATAGCTGGTTTTTAACGATAGATGTTGAAATTTGCCATCCTGTTTTGGACGACATTATCTACAGATTCTAATCTATTGCGTAGGGCTATCGATGTAATGAGATGATCTCGTCTAGGTGTCGTTTGACGATACTTGTCTCACATGCGAGTAATTACACTTTTTGATTTGCCAAACATTCAGGCAACTGGGATACTGATGTCACTCCTCTATCGTACCCATAATTCGCCATTTTGTCTGTTCATTGTCTGTGATTGTGAGTTCCCCTTTCTGAGGCATACCCACTTTGGCTTCAATGTGCACATGCAAGACGTGCTGTTTATGCATGATGTGACATTTTATTGTCATTAGATGCTACCAACCAAACCAACCAGCCAGCCAGCCAACCAACCAACAAACCAGCCAACCAACTAAGCAATAGAGAGTGACATCTAATATTCTATGGTGCTATTTGCTACGACAGAACGACACATACCTGGGTTTTAGCAGAAATAAGTTCAACATATGTTCTATGTGTGGAGTCAAGCGCGTTCGCTGTTTCGACGGCATAATGTGCCAAATACTGAACGAATTGGTCGTGGATGTCCGCGTCAGTAGCAGCTCCAAGTTGACGTTTGGTTTGTCCGGAGCAGTGGTGATCTGTAACCTGCTTCGTGTTGGTCCAGGATTGGTACCAAACCCTCACTTCACACAGCTGGGTCTGAGGGTGTACAGCACAAACACCAACTTAGTGAGGAAGTGAGTATGATTTAGTGAGGGTTTAAAATATCACAGCCGGGGGTACTCATTCGAACTGTAGTCTTAAACATTCGGAGTAAACTCTTGAAACAATAACCCCAACAGCCCCAACAGCTTAAAGACTTGAATTGTACTATGCGAATCACTATTTACGCCAAAGGCGTTAAAGTATATGACTGGTCAAAGCAAGTTGATATATGGCACAGGAACGAAGAATTGTGCCTTCAAGATAAACTTTGTTGACAACATATCTTTGTATCTTTGTTTAGTTTGAGAGAGAACATAAGAGCAATAACAAGACACGTTAATATAGCGCCATTGGTTATCTTATTATGAGAAATGGCATGCTATTTTCACATCTTCATCTTCAATCTAGTGTACAAGTTACAACACCTGAAAACAAATATCTTAGCTCACCTTATCTCCATTCTGAAGACTCAGGGTAAGAATGTAGTTAATACCGGCGACGATCTGAAAGAAAGACATTTTTAAAACACGAAGACTTGGGTTGCATATGAATCAAAACGGACAACGTTAATCTAGAACATGAAGTTTAATACACATTAACAGAAACGTCCGTACTTGTTTTCTGGCATTAACGACTTTGACTAGAGAGTTCTGTGCCCCTTGAAGTCCGTTGATCTCCGTGACAGCGAAGTTGGCCACTTCCTGAATCTCTGCACTGTTGGCGTCCACAGCAGTGACGCCCCCGAGAAGACCCCCAGCACGCTTTGTCACCTGGGTACAGCTGTGCTGTGTCATCTCCAATTTGTTGAGCCAGGGCTGGGACCAGACCTTCACGTTACAGATCTGGGTCTGAGGGCAGACAGGAGACATAATGATCAGGTAACAGGTTTAGAATAGAGGTATAGTTGTACAGGTGTAGCGTTACAGGTGTACCTCTGAGAATGTTTCTAACTTCTGTCCAGATCTTCACGTTATAGATCAGGATCTGGAGGCAGACAGGGGGCTTAATGATCAGGCAACATGGTATCATGGTATGAATGAAGCGGTACTGTACACATGTTGCACAAGGTGAAAACACAAGTGCCTCAGGTGTAACTGTACATGTGTTGCTCCAGGTTTAGCTGTACATGTGTTGCTCCAGGTGTAGTGGCGCATGTGTTGCTCCAGGTTTAGCTGTACACGTGTTGCTTTAGACATACAGAGGTACACAGGTAGTGCACCTTGTTGAATTGCCTTACAATATAAACTACATCCCCCTGAAGACATCTTTCAAAACAAATTATAAACCAGGACTCACCTTGTCACCTTCCTTGATACGTATGGCCAGGATGTAGTTCATTCCAGAAACAACCTGAAATGTTTAAAGAACTCTGTGAAGAGAGACACACACGCAACCTCATTGCGAACCATGTATACGTTCACTGCGTGTCGTGTGTGTCTCATAAATGTTTCAGTGACTAATGAAACAAGTACTGACAAGACATTTCTGACAAATGAGATCGGATACACAAACAAACAATCAAAAAGCACTACCATTGTCAGCTGTGGATTCAGATCTGGCGAGCCAAGGCAGAGTCGGCACATCGTTGTTCTGGAGTTGGCTGTCACTGCACGGAAACGATGAGGTCTGACGTAATCTCCCATGAACTGAGGTCTTGTGGCAAGTGGGTGTTTATTGAAATGACGGACAGCAACTGGTTCCAGGACATATCGGATGTACTGATTACATCTGAGGCAGCCTTGAAAAGTGACCAGGACCAGCTTGCAGTCTTGTGAGATACATCCCAAAGCAATGCCAAACCTCGCCCACAAGGGACACATAAACATATATTCCTTGGGGTGTAGGCCACATCCCTGTGACTCCAAACCTTCAGTCAAATGGAATCTCTGATGGTATTCTGCCAGTAGGGGCGTTTGATGAATTTCCTGGACGCCATTCCTGCTGATCTCAAGGTTCTAGTGGACAGAAGTCGACTGGGTAGCCATTGTCCATTCAGGATGGGACTCGTTGCAAATGGCTGTCGTCGTACTAATTCAATCAGTGTCCTGTCATCACGCTGTGACGTCACGGGAGGTCGTACAGACCATGGTAGGTCTTTCACAGCATCGGGTTGACCATGGTTTCGAACAAGTCGGCTGATGACAGTGTAATGGTAGCTCATGAGAGCTTTGAAGGACAAACTCGTGGAAGGCATTCACACTGTTTGTCATCATTGCGTCTCTGAAATCCTCCTTTGTGCCATGTTCACAGGGAAGGAATAGACGTTACAAGTCGGCGGATTTAAATACCCAAATTTGAATTCAGTATCTCATGGGGTCCTCTTTTCATGTGTCTTGGCATTTCCCCTGACAAAAGCATGCTTTTGTTAAACGTCACATAGTGTATGCAGTCAATCGATTTTGTAGAACTATGTAATATTTACACAGTAAAAGCATGTTTGTTCCTCCAACCAAGATTGTTTATCATCATTGCGTCTCTGAAATCCTCCTTTGTGCCATGTTCACAGGGAAGGAATAGACGTTACAAGTCGGCGGATTTAAATACCCAAATTTGAATTCAGTATCTCATGGGGTCCTCTTTTCATGTGTCTTAGCATTTCCCCTGACAAAAGCATGCTTTTGTTAAACGTCACATAGTGTATGCAGTCAATCGATTTTGTAGAACTATGTAATATTTACACAGTAAAAGCATGTTTGTTCCTCCAACCAAGATTGTTTATCTGACTGTAGCATGAATAATGTTAGAAACACACAGTTAGTTATGTTTAATCTGTACATGGTAACGTTGATTACTATGATGTTAACACACAAAATGCTGGCCTTACCTGCGCCTTGGCTGAGATTATTTGCTCCATGCTGTTGTTGGCACCCTGCAGTCCGTTGATCTTGCCCAGGGCAAAGCTGGCCGCGTTCAGAACTTCAAGACTGTTGACATCCACGTTGAACAGACCCCCGGGCATACCTATGTCCCGCCTTTTGGCGCTGGTGCAACTATGGTGGGTCATATCGGTCATGTGGCTCCAAGGCTGGTCCCAGATAGTCACATCACAGATTTGAGTCTGAAACACACACACACACACAGTCATCAATTACACGATCAAGACGCATATATACGTGTGGTTAGATGTATTTACTGGAAACTGGATCCATGACACGACAGATGTATTGGCTAGATACGGTGGGTCATTACACGACCAAGATGTATTGGTTAGATACGGTGGGTCATTACACGACCCAGAGGTATTGGTTAGATACGGTGATTCATTCAACGGCCCAGATGTATTGGTTAGATACGGTGATTCATGACACAACCCAGAGGTATTAGCTGGATACGGTGGGTCATTACACGACCCAGATGTATTGGCTAGATACGGTGGTTCATTACACGACCAAGATGTATTGGCTAGATACGGTGGTTCATAACATGACCCAGAGGTATTAGCTGGATACGGTGATTTATGACGCGACCAGATGTATTGGCTAGATATGGTGGTCCATTACACGATCAAGATGTATTGGCTAGATACGGTGGTTCATTACACGACCAAGATGTATTGGCTAGATACGGTTGTTCATGACACGACCCAGAGGTATTGGCTAGATACGGTGGTTCATTACACGACCAAGATGTATTGGCTAGACACGGTGGTTCATGACACGACCCAGATGTATTGGCTAGATACGGTGGTTCATTACACGACCAAGATGTATTGGCTAGATACGGTAGTTCATAACATGACCCACTGGTATTAGCTGGATACGGTGATTTATGACGCGACCAGATGTATTGGCTAGATACGGTGGTTCATTACACGACCAAGATGTATTGGCTAGATACGGTGGTTCATATCATGACCCAGAGATATTAGCTGGATATGGCGATTTATGACGCGACCAGATGTATTGGCTAGATATGGTGGTCCATTACACGACCAGGGTGTATTGGCTAGATACGGTGGTTCATATCATGACCCAGAGATATTAGCTGGATACGGTGATTTATGACGCGACCAGATGTATTGGCTAGATATGGTGGTCCATTAACACGATCAAGATGTATTGGCTAGATATGGTGGTCCATTACACGACCAGGGTGTATTGGCTAGATACGGTGGTTCATATCATGACCCAGAGATATTAGCTGGATACGGTGATTTATGACGCGACCAGATGTATTGGCTAGATATGGTGGTCCATTACACGACCCAGATGTATTAGCCATATACGGTGATGGACAAAGCTCATGGCATTGCTGAGTAAACTTCAAATGTCTCAGTCCTAGGCAAACAAACTTCAGCTGGAGTAGTATGATGGGTTTATGAAATATATTTACTTTTAATAAAGCAAAAAAAACCTTCCCATAATGACAAGAAATCTCTGTTGAAAACACGTTTTTTATACGAGACATACCTGGGTTCCATCACTCAGGCGGATCTTCAGCATGTAGTTGATGCCAGAAACCACCTGAAATGATATAAAATTGTTGCATTGAGGCCAGAGAAAACTCAGATCTTCTCTTAATAATGACATATGATCAATATCGGACAGAACACCCACACAGAGAAACCAGGAAACGACAACAAACATCAAAACTTAAAAAAAGATAGATGACGTAGTCATAACACACAAAATGCACATTTATAAATACTGTTTTATCATTACTGTATATTTATAAACGGTGACTGATGTCAGTAATCAACTCTAGAAATTCTCATTTTGGTCAATTCCAAAGACATAGACATTATCAGGCTTCAGTGTTCATGGTTAGTGTTTATTCGGGTATTTATTATCCCAAAACACACAACCGTGATAACGTTTTTATCAAATAATGTCATTCTTATATATCATTACGTAACAATGTCAGTCAGTCTGAAAGTGACAACTTGTCAATTCAGTTCCAACTGAAACACTATCTTGACGACAGTGACGTAACTACCACATAGCAAAAAAACCCAATTGACCATAGGTACTTTTTCAATTTGCGTTTCGCGGCAATCCATCGGTCCGCCCACTGGAGCAGTTTCCCTTTACGAAAGGGAAGCTACTCTAGTCTGTAAAACGCCAAGTTTGTTTACGTTTCGTAACGGGATTACAGATTTCAGATTTCCCACACAGTCGCAAAATGAAACAAGGTATATTTCGGACATATACTGAACTGCAAAAGAAACGTCACCCCAAGTAACATTGCTGAAAAGTTTACATTTAAATATCTGGGTAATTTTTGTCAAAGTTTCTAAAATTTAACATTACCTTGTCCGGAAAAATGAAATTTGATGACAAAAAAACAAAGCGGATGACAATAAAACGGATCGCCCAAACGCATCACGGCAATGGCCATGGTAACCCGATGCACGTGAGTTCCGTGCAAATTGAAATGCACATGCGTTCCCCCATTTCTTGCCCTATAAAAATCCACCCAGATCGGATAACATTTATTCGTTATTGAATTGCTACCACATGCTAAGATTGACAAGAAATCAGTGACACCAAGCCCTTGGACAATTACAAGCTGGACAAACCGCCTTGCAAGTAGCCAATGCATTTCAAATCCACGTAAGGACCATATACAGGCTCCAGCAACGGCACCAGACAACCAACACTACAGATAGTGGAAGATCAAGGGTCACCACTCGACGTCAGGATCGTCAGATTGTGCGACAGCATCTTCAAGATCGCTTTGTTACTGCTGCGGAAACTGCTCGACAGACCATGGGGATACACCAGAGACACATTAGTGTGTACAACGTGCGTCGACGATTGACGAGCAGACACCTCCACTGTCACAGGCCACACTGAGGACCCATTCTGACACCACGTCATCGCCGGGACCGTCTTCAGTGGGCAACACAGCACCAGCATTGGCGCCACCAGCAGTTGAGAAGAGTCCTCTTCTCAGGCGAGAGCCGTTACTGTGTCTCAACAGCAGATGGGAGAGAGAGAGTCTGTCGACGCCGTGGGGAACGTTATTCAGATGATTGTGTTGATGAGAGAGACTCGTGGGGTGGTCCGAGCATCATGGTGTGAGGTGGAATTGGTCTTGCACAGAGGGTCGGCCCTCTGGTCTTCCAGAACATCGGTCCAGGGAGAGGCAATGGTGTCACAGCAGCTCGGTACATTGATCAAGTCTTGAGACCACACGCTATACCTAATTTGGCACGTCGCCGCAACCACGAATTTCAGCATGATAAAGCCCGTGCCCACACTGCGAGAGCAACAAGAGACTTCCTACAGCAGAACGGCATCAAAACCATGCAGTGACCTGCCCTCAGTCCCGATTTAAATCCCATTGCACCTGTAGGACGAGATTCAAAGACGGCTGAATGACGTCCGACCAAGGCCGACAACTGCAGCTGAACTGCATCAGGCGTTCCTCAGAGTGTGGCCTCCTGTGCCTATGGCCTTCATTAACCGCTTCATCCATTCCATGTATCGACGTTGAACGGCAGTCATCAATGCACATGGCGGACACACGAGATACTGACTTGTGATGCCATTTTCTCAGAGACTAATGTTGTGTTTCACTTTAAGAATATTTGACACTTTAATTTCAACCTTGATGATCAGTTTTGCCAAGTTTCATCTTTTTAATATGTCTCAAAGTATGTTTACAGTGTTTGGACAAATAAGGTTTCTCATATATCTATCCATGGTGACGTTTCTTTTGCGGTTCAGTATATTTCGTCCAAATGCAATTGTGTTTAATTCGAGGTCTACAAGTACAGAAATGTAACAGATACCTCGACTGTATTGATATTTTCCGTGTCACAGACTATTATTTATGTAATGATAACAATTATCCTTGTAATTTGTCCAGGTACCCGACCATTAGTTCTGAATCGATCGCCGATTGACAAGGGTGATTCCATATTTGTTTGTTAACACTGAAAGTAGTACCCGCCTGACATCTCACATTTGCATCTTTATCCGAAAATGACCCTTTATCCGACTTTAGCCTACCGAGAAACCTACCCATTATATGATATATGCAAGATATGATAGTTTATCCTCCTACTAACATACTTGGGTCTGGGCAGAGATGACTTGGTCCAGACTGTTGTCAGCCCCCTGTAGGCCGTTCAGTGTAAACACAGCATAGAGCGCCATCCTCTGGATTTCTGGATCGGTGACATTGGCGGGGGTTGGAGCACCAACAAGCACGGCCCGCTTGCTGCTTGCAGTACATGCATGCGTGGTTAATCGCTTGCCGTGTAGAATTGAATCAGAATAAAGGGTGACATCGCAGATCTGGGTCTGAAACACATCACTGCAATCATGTTATAAATGAGTTGAAATATGAATATCAAAAGGCTATTCTCAGGATATGGTGTGTAATTTCAAGCACACTTGTTATCCTGCTCCTTTTGATATCCACCTTATTACCACACTGCAGTTTCATGTCCATTCTTGATTTGATGAGCTGCCATGAGCAAAGTCCTGTAACATGTCACGGGAGAGGTTGGGTAGAGAAGAGGTTAAAGCGTTCTCTCATTACTCGAAAGACCCTGGCTCGAACCCACACATGGTTACAATGTGTTAAAAGCGAGCATGACGCTCAGTCACTCATCAAATACTGCTGCCCCCAAACGCCCGTCGAGACCAACAAGGACAGAAACAACATCTGCAGTGATGTTGTCGCCAGATGTTGACGGACTGGGTCAACGTGTCCTGCGCATCCGACAGCAGACGCAGTGAGTGAGAGTGATAGAGGCACATTAGCATGTTAGCAGCTATATATATGTCAAGGAATGGCTCGTACGCAATGTTACACAGGTGTATACCGTATATCTGATAGCCTGTGACATATGGCCTGAATATTTCAGTGAAGGTGTAAAACTCTGAAGAGAACTCACCGTCTGTCCGTTCTGCACCTTGAGGGACAGAAAGTAGTTGAAGCCAGCAATGCCGAAGGCACCGGCGCCAGGGACAACCTGTGAGGGAGGACAGTAATTGAGTCCAAATGATCAACTTTGGAAATAAATGGTATGAATCACATGCATTATCGATAGCAAATGATAAATTGCAAGTGTTGTTTAACGCAGCTGTATATCCAGGAATATGCGAGTTGTTGTAAGTACTTAAATTCTGGACCAGACAAACCAGTGTTACCATGACAACGACCCAGGCAACCTTGACAACTGATCCACTTAATTTGGCTTTGCGCCAATCTTAAGATACTAGGGACATACTTGTCCCCGGAATCTTTGTTTACAATCTGTTTTGAAACATACCCAAATATACACGTTTTGGCGGACCAGGTGAGGTACACTCACTATTTACTGCGGAAGTAGGGACAGGCATATAGACAGACACCTACTTGAGTTTTAGCATTCAGAACAGACACGAGGCTTGCGTTCAGCTGGGTAACGGCGAAGCTTGACATCTGCTGAATGTCCCCTCTGGTCACGTCAGCATCCTTGGGGCTGCTTAAGAGTTGAGACGTGGCTAGTGGTAACACCACCAGGACCAGAGCTAGTATGTTCATTCTTTGTGTAAGTAAAGTGGAACTATAATCCCTACTGAACTGACTGCTCTTTATATATGTGAAAACCGGCCTACGTTCAGCTGTTGTGTCCCAAGGTTGCCTGTGTGGGCCTGTTGATCTCTGTTTTGTAACATGACTCTGCGGCGTCCTAGGTCAGCGATAACGTTTCTTGTTGCATAATATATAGTTATACTTTCTACATGCCTGTTATATCATCAGAGCTCAAGTCTTAAAAACACCACGTAAGCTTATTGCAGTTATATATACTTAAAGGTAAGGCTGCAAAAAAATATTTTTTCCGTATCACTGCACGCTAACTCTCACAGTCTACTTTCGAATTAAGGGTTCTGAGGAGAGAGTGAATTGTGGTTTCAAGTGGGTAATGTGACACCTAATATGTATGCTGACCTAAAACATATGTACATCATGTATATTGAATCAACCGTTATAAGAGGATATTCCTTTACTGCCGACTGAACCATCACCAAGAACGTGGTCAAAGGCTGCTATTGATATTGTTGGTCCTGTAGGAACAAATTTCTTGTTCACGATGGACTATGTTTCATCTTATCTATGTGCGGTGTTGATCCTAGACATTACCTCCACTGTGATAGAAGGACTGGTGAGGTTATTGTCGGAGCACTGGTTCCCTGATGGTATTGTAACTGACAATGGTAGGCAGTTTGTCGGTGAACAGTTTACAAAGTATCTCCAAATGCCTCATGTCATACATGTTCGTTCATCACCTCATTTTCCCAAAAGGAAAATTGATCGTTTTCATTGACTTCTGAAGAAATCATTTCGTACATCTGGTAGTGGTGGAAGACACTGAAAGAGATTTCTTCCATAATACTTCAGATGTATCGTGCTACTACTTATCGTGCAACTTTCGAGACTCCAGCTGTAATATTTCTCAACAGGGTATTTCAAGAAAGAATTGCCCGTGCTACATTTCGTTGAGCCTGATCTTTTGATGGCCAAGAAGTTGAAATATGCAGAGAAAACGATAGCATATGCAGATAGGAAGCATGCTGTGACACAACATATACTCAACAACAAAAGTTCCCGAGACACAAATATTTTAGTGTATTTTTCAAACAAGTAAAGTTTACTTTTCAATATTGTAGTACATGTATGGAATCAAGTCACAAAAAACGCAACTGCTTCAGAAAAGCATGCATTCCATGCAAAAGTTGACTTTTATGCAAGCCCCATGCATTTCACTACCCAAGAATGGGTATAAATACATTTGCGTTAACTGGATTCCATATGCATTGTTTAGCATCCTGCTGACAACAACCACTCAGAAAAACAACAAAATTACGCAATTATTCAACATTACGAAATGCCACGCCCGTCCGAAAATGAGCGTCTGCGAGCCATTGGTATGCTTGTAGCAGGATCGAGTCAACGTGATGTTACAAGACAATTTAACTTCCACAGAAACACCATTTGGTGTTTATGGCAACGTTGGCAACACACGAATGCAGTCAGAGACCATCCTCGGAGTGGCAGGCCATGCGTAACCAATAATCGACAACTGGATTCGAACAACACACCTACGAAATCGATTCCAGCCAGCAACAGTGACTGCAAGAAGCATCCCTGGCCTTCGACGAATATCTTCACAAACCGTTCGTCGTCGCCTCAGATGTGCAGGGATTGTCCCCAGAAGACCCGTCAGACGTTCCATTTTGACAGGAAACCACCGCCAAGCACGTCTACAGTGGTGCAGACAGCGTCTACGCTGGACGGCCATTCAGTGGGGACAAGTTCTCTTCACTGACGAGTCTCGTTTTCACCTCAGCCACAGCGATGGACGGATTCGAGTGTACCGACGTCGAGGTGAACGTTACGTCAATCACTGTGTCATGGAAGAAGATCGGTTCGGGGGCGGACTTCAGAAAATGCGTGATTGGTATGGGGTGGGGTGGGATTACAGCAAGACAGAGGACCCGTTTGATAGTGGTAAAGGGAAATCTCAATGACGAGATCATCGGCCCTGTTGTTCTACCGTTTTTGCGTCGCCATGGCCCAGGCATTACCTTTCAACATGACAACTCCCAGCCTCATATTGCTCGACTTGTTCAGGATTCTCTTCACCAAAACAACGCGAATGTCATCCCCTGGTCGGCTCTCTCCCCTGATCTCTCACCAATCGAGCACATGTGGGATGAGATGGATCGGCGCCTTCGACGTCAACCACGTGTTCCACAGACACTCCAGGAACTTAAGTCAAAAATACTCCAGCAGATATGGACAGATATCCCACAGAACTTTGTGCGACGCCTGGTCCATTCTATGAGACGAAGATGTATTGCTTGCATCGCAACCAGATGTGGACACACACGCTATTGATTTGTAAATTTTCTGAAGTCAATATGGCAAATTAAACCATTTGAACACTTACAGGAGTCCTTTATCTGTTGCAAACCGAAATTGTTTCAGATTTGGTAAAAAACATAACTTTGCACTTTGCAATGTCACAGGAACTTTTGTTGTTCAGTATATATATCAATGCATGTTTAATGAAGGGATGCTTCCTCTTCATAAAGCCTAAACCCATCATACTGCTGGCATTCATTAAGTTTAGATAGTGGAGAGAGAGTTCCAGAGGTGTTAGTGGCGGTCACTCACATCAGCTGTAAACACTGGTGGACAGAACAAGATTAACTGATAAAAAAAAAGCCAGAATCTCGTTTGTGAGCCCTCGGAATTTGTACAGACCATAGAGCTGAGGCAATCTAGACTTGCTAAAACATCTAGACTTGAGTTGGACTCTGGGAGACAAGGTTCAGGACAAGTTGTCGTGAAGTTTACAGTGAAAACAATAGATGAAATGCTGGACTTCCTCATTGATAAATAACATTTATGTGGAATTTAGGGATAAGACATCAAGGCAAGAAGTATGCTTCTCCATGACCACCAGTTGTGCCTGCTCTTCTTGTGGATATCTTTCTTTATGCATATGAATCGTAATTTCTGCTCGGATTGGCGAAATCAAAACAAGGGAATTTGGCTTAAATTTAACTTAAGCTTCAGGTATATCGATGATCTGATACCATTTAATAAATAGTCAAACAGCCAATGTCCTTCCACTAATTTACTCACTTTGAACTAGAAACAAAAGAGACAACCACCTCATCTGTTTCATATTCAGATCTTTGCATAAAGATTCAAAGTGACAACGAAAAGTTTAAAGTATAATCGAGCATGCTCTTTCAACCAAGATTTCGAAGAGCGTCATACGACTCTTGCTCTGAGGCTGTTTCACCAAGGTTACAACATTCGAGGCCTCAGTAAAGTAAAGCTTTCAAAAGGTTTTATTGTAGACATGAGGATGACATTTCCAAATTTGACGCATCAGTGACAAAATTGATGTCCGATACAATTGCCTATTTTGACTTACACCATATGTTCCCGTGTTTTTTCAGGTGAACATTTGACTTGCCTTTGCATGTGTTTGTGACGGGTGCCACTGGTGGGGCAGGATACGCTCATCTTTTCGCGGTATCATTACTATTTGATAGTGATTCATAAACACATGCTCATGATAAAGTTGGAATCATACAATCGACTCGGCTTTATTGTAATATGGTATTGTATTTTATTGTTGAACAATGATTATAACTGTGTTACATTCTGTTGAGATTCGGTCGACGTTCATGGCATTGTGTTTGGACAGTGATCAGTCGTCTGGAAGTTACTATCTTTAGATGCTAGTGTGGCGTGTAAACGTCCGGTAGGGCGTGGACTCATGCAGAATATTCTCTAATGTTCTAGTGCCGCTTGACTGGTAAGGGCATTGTGTAGAATTTCCAGTAGTTAGTGAGGCTGTATATAAGGGGACAACAGCGTGTTTACGTCTCTCTCGTGAATTTTATGACATCGGAACCAGCTTTCATGTGAGGATCACTCATCTCGCTCACTCACGAGCCTTGCCCATCTCGGAAGCCTGACCACTGTCACCGCTGAGTGAATATATCTTATTATCACTGACTTTTGCTATCACCTCTGTATTTTTGTATTTGATACGTACCACTGCCATCATGTTACATATTGCCATTGAATATTGTACTACCATTCTATTGTATACTGCCATTGTAATTGCTGTGCAGTAATTTGTATTGATTTGTAAACTTAGTTAATTTTGAAATAGTTTTGTTGATTGTATTCCACATATTGGCTGTTTGTTGGTTTCTCATTAAGTTCCTTTACGTACAGATGTCTGGGTGAATTTCAATTTATCAAATCGACACAACGTATTTCGAAAGCAACATAATTGAGCCCCTGTTTACGTTGGAAAATTGAGCTCCTAAACATTAAAAAAGATGCTGATCTCAAACCAGAATCCGCCCGTCCAGTGGCATAATGTTTCATAATCCATGTTCCAGACTGTGACATCTAGTCGCCTTCACCTTATACTAAGTCTCATCAAATTTCGATAAAAACACACACTCAAGTTAAAGGTTTTTGACATTTATTCAACATGGAGGTACCTTGACCTTCAATAAAGCAAGCTATTGCATTGTCATTTCATGAGTGAATGACCTTCAGACTGACCTTGGCATTTGATACAGTCATTACATATAAGCAGAAGAATCTCTGCACTTATACATAGCAGACGTAATTCAAACTTAACGTGTCGCCTTTATTAGTTGAAACAAAATCAGAAAGTGCACTATCGCGTAACTGGATGGAAGGAGCACTGCTTACCTTTTTGCGAAAACCTGTTGTCATCACTGATTGTCATATAATTTTCACACTTTATCTGACCTTCAATGTCACCCGATCATATGTCAGAAGAAATCCCTATGTGTGTATAGGACATATATCGGGTACGAAGTCTCTAACATCAGCCACAAGCGTGCTGTTGGGAAAACCTATTGTGGCTGTGGCTGTGGCTGTGGCTGTTGCTTAAGAAGTATTTGTCCACATGGTAACTCAAATCGAATCAAATCGCATTGCAAAATATTACAGGTCACCGGATCAGCTTGCTTACAAACTGCCTTGTCGAGTTCATAAATAGAATACAACTAAAAGTATGAAAAAAAGCCATTCACTTGTACCACATGTTTCTGTGTTTATTTCAGGTAAACATTTGGCTTTCCTTTGCATATATTTGTGATGGGTGTCACCGGTGGGAAAGGGTACGAAGTAACTCTGCACGTTTGCATATTGACATTACCATCTCGTCCTATCGAGTCTACATTTATAATCAGATTATTGGTCACAATGCAGACATACAGACTGGCAGATTTTTATTCAGTAAAAGGTCGATTGCCTAAAATACACACAGTATAGTTATTGTCATTGTATAAATTACACTATTGAAACATAATATCAGCTTGTGTCATGTGTTGCCAATGATTTGCTTCTGTTTTTGTTTACATGATAAATAAACACTAAGTCTCTATTCGTTGAGAGGGGCGGTCGGGTAGCCTAGTGGTTAAAGCGATCGCTCGTCACGCCGAAGACCCGGGTTCGATTCCCGACATGGGTACAATGTGTGAAGCCCATTTCTGGTGTCCCCCGCCGTGATATTGCTGGAATATTGCAAAAAGCGGCGTAAAACAATACTCACTCACTCACTATTCGTTGAGATTATTATTATAGGAAAATGAATACAGATTTGTTTTAACAATGTACATAATATACCCTCTTCTTAATTTTCTATGAATATGACATGTGAAGAATACATGGATATCATATTAATGGAGATTTGAATCGTTTATGAAACCTTTGGTGATGATCTTTCAGATGCATAACTGTATAACATGTACTATCTGACGTATCTCCGTTTGAAAACAACTATAAAGTAATTAACCCTGCTTCTGTTGCAAGGGATATCCTGAATGCATATTCTTAACATAATAAATACCAGTTAACGTTAACACAGCTAGTACAATCAAATAGTATTTAGTGCAAAATGTTTATTTGTAAACAAAAACATCAACTATAAAATATAACAACACTATATATTGACAAGAAAACAGCAAATCACTTGAAGAAGAGAGCACAGTCCGTGGATAGGTTTGAACCCATCTGAAAAGATATTCAATCACACAATAAATATAATGTCAGAAGAACTATATCCGTATCAGTAGGAGTGCTTATCTCGAAAGATTATCACTAATGGCCTGGAGCAAGGCACACTTTTCGAGAATAACCGAGAGTTACGAGGAATAATTGGTAAGTTTGAGTTGCGAGCAGGTTATTCTAAATATTACATGTAGTTTTTTAGGTTTTTTTAATCTGAAAAAATGCAGCTGCAGGAGGGCTTCCTGTTGACACATCAGCTCAGTTGGCCCGACGTCGTTTGTGACGTCATGAACCACCAGCCTCTTTGCAAACAATGAAAACAAAGGAACAATTGGAAAATAAAACAATCAGAATTAAGCAAATAATGTTCAGTGAGAATAACTGAAAATGATATCCTCGATATCTGTGTCCCTATGGGTAAAACAATATAGCATACCTAGGCCAGTTGTCCACATGAGTCGGATACCAGCTGATATTTAGGATCATTCCACGCCTGGTACCACACCGACACCGTGCACGCCATACGCTGCAGCAAAGAAACAAAGACTCACCAACCTAAATAACAAAGACTTAATAAAACAAAACAAGCCATAATGAGAAATCTTATTTTCCCCGACACCATGTTTCTGAAGAACATGGCCCTTATCTCTGTTTACCTGGGGCATGCTGTTGCTGGCGGGACAGTCGGTGATTCCTTTGCCGGTGCTGTCGTCGTTGTTCATGCAAGAGGATGTCACAAGGTGAAGGTCAAACGAGTACTTCATGCCAGCCACAACCTGTAGACAGTCAAATTGATCTTCAACAACAGAATAACACGACCTTACGTCACATACCACACCTAGAGGTTTCAATGGTGTAGGCTTCCAAAGGTTATATCTTTGGAGCAATCATTAGGCGTTCCTTGTATTCCAACATGAACACACACGAATAGCCCGGTTTCAAGTAAACGGCCTTAAAGAGTGATAATTTGATGTTAAGGCTTAAGGGGACAATCTATTTGCCTAATATTTCATATAATCAAGCTGAGGGGTAGATCATTTCATTTCACGGTTGGTGATATAAAAATGTTGGGAAAAGATAGATTTGTATGACCCACGTCGCACTTAAACTTTACCAGCCTCCATATAGCTGGAATATTGCTACGTACGGCGTTAGACAACAAACAAATACACTGTGCCACCACTCCCATCTGATGTCTTAATTACCAATAATGACGTCTGTGTTAACAAAACTAAAGAGAGTGTATAAATACGTTAATTGTTATGACTTCTTATATTGTGCTGCGTGTCCAGATGTGTGGATACCAACAGTGTACATTCATAACGGAAGACGACCTGTGAAGATCCAGGCTAGAATAGGTCTTCAACAACCCATGCTTGTCGTAAGAGGCGACTATGCTTGTAAGAGGCGACTAACTGGATCGCATGGTCAGGTTCCATCCATACCAATCAGAGACCACACCACAATTTGAGAACAAGGTATTTCGCTGAATTGGTTGATGCATGTCATCATGTCCAAAATGCGTGAATTGATGCTCATGATATCATTCACTGGATTGTCTGTTCCAGACTCGATGATTTAGAGACCGCCGTCATATAGTTTGACTATTGCTGAGTATGGTGTTTAACAAAACATAATGGACGACACAGCTTCGGTAGTAATAATAGGGTGTCAAACGTTGCATCATTGGTTTATCCTTAGGGATTCCTTGTATTCCTTTTGATGAAAGAACTGACTGACGATGATCTCGTTCAGTGTTATGGGGTATACCTGTTGTGTGACGTGGTCCACTTTCTCAGTCACCATCCGGAACATGTTGTTCATCTTTCCATTCAAAGCGTCTTCTACAAACGACACAGCTTGCTGCACTGGAGCCGTGAGATTGGCGGGCTCCACACCTCCCACAAAAAGACCTCTCTTGCTGACAGCGGAGCATTTGTGCTCTGTCACCTTCTTTGTGTTGGTCCAGGATTGGTACCATATCCTCACTTCACACATCTGGGTCTGGGGGTATACAGCACAACCATTAACAGAGTGAGTGAGTGTGCTTTACTGACAGTTTAAAAATACCACAGCTTTAGTTTGAAAGAGATCTTAAGAGCAAAAACAAAATATATAGAAATGTATAAAGCGGTGTTCTTCTTATGAAAAATGGCATACTCATTTTACATCTTCAATCTCATAGTGCCCAACTAGTTACAACTACTGAAAACAAATCTTAGCTCACCTTATCTCCATTCTGAAGACTCAGGGTAAGGATGTAGTTAATACCGGAGACGATCTGAAAGAAAGACATTTTTGAGATGTCGTGCGTCTGAATCCATTTCTTTGACACATACATGAATGGGTATAATGTGATGATTGTAGGTCTACACGCAGAAGAAACGTTCCCAAGAACGTATTTAAACAATGTATTTCTATTAACTGTTCTTCAACACTATCCTATGCATTATTGAACAATAATACACATTAACAGAAACATCCGTACTTGTTTTCTGGCGTTAACGACTTTGACTAGAGAGTTCTGTTCTCCTTGAAGTCCGTTGATCTCCGTGACAGCGAAGTTGGCCACTTCCTTAATCTCTGCACTGTTGACGTCCACAGCAGTGACGCCCCCGAGAAGACCCAGTGCACGCTTTGTCACCTGGGTACAGCTGTGCTGTGTCATCTCCAATTTGTTGAGCCAGGGCTGAGACCAGACCTTCACGTTACAGATCTGGGTCTGAGGGCAGACAGGAGACATAATGATCAGGTAACAGGTGTAGAATAGAGGCATAGTTGAACAGGTGTAGCGTTACAGGTGTACCGCTGAGAATGTTTCTAACTACTGTCCAGATCTTCACACTAGATCTAGATCTGCGGACAGACAGGGGGCTTATTAGTCAGGTAACAGTTATAGAACAACATAAAGTACATCATCCTCAAAACATTTAGTTTTAGAATGTATCTGACATCTATCAAAACAAATAATATAACAGGACTCACCTTGTCCCCTTCCTTAATACGTATGGCCAGGACGTAGTTCACTCCAGCAACAACCTGAAACGTTTGAAGAAACGTTTGAAGAAGTATAAAGGACATGCATTGTGCACTGTGTGTACTACCTGTATAATTATGTACTGCTTAAGAAATATCTTAGGTAAAGCTCAGGCAACCTCTCACAATATTTGTCACAGAAATATCATTATTGCATGCTGCTTCTGGTATAGGCCTGATACAATACCATTTTCCTTGACACAAGTAAGCTTTGGTTATGGGACATGTATACAGCCAAACGATCTTGTAGAATTATGAGTAATATGTACATGTGTAAAGTCAATGCTGGCCTTACTTGAGTTTTGGCTGAGATAATTTGCTCCATGCTGTTCTGGGCACCCTGCAGTCCGTTGATCTTGCCGAGGGCAAAGTTGGATATGTTCAGTACTTCAAGGCTGTTGACGTCCACGTTGGTCAGACCCCCGGGCATCCCGTTCCGCTTGGTGGCGGTGGTGCAGCTATGGTGGGTCAGCTTGGTCATGTGGGTCCAGGGCTGGTCCCAGATGGTCAAGTCACAGATCTGGGTCTGTAGCAAAGTCATCGATTACATGACCGGGACGAGTGGTCACATGTATTGACTGGACACAGTGATCCATTACACGACCAGGGCGAGTGGTTAGATGTATTGACTGGACACAGTGATCCATTACACGACCAGGGCGAGTGGTTAGATGTATGGACTGGACACAGTGATCCATTACACGACCAGGACGAGTGGTTAGATGTATTGACTGGACACAGTGATTCATTACACGACCAGGGCGAGTGGTTAGATGTATTGACTGGACACAGTGATCCATTACATGACCAGGACGAGTGGTTAGATGTATTGACTGGACACAGTGATCCATTACATGACCAGGACGAGTGGTTAGATGTATTGACTGGACACAGTGATCCATTACACGACCAGGACGAGAGTATGTAAGATGTATTGACTGGACACAGTGATCCATTACATGACCAGGACGAGTGGTTAGATGTATTGACTGGACACAGTGATCCATTACATGACCGGGACGAGTGGTCACATGTATTGACTGGACACAGTGATCCATTACATGACCAGGACGAGTGGTTAGATGTATTGACTGGACACAGTGATCCATTACACGACCAGGACGAGTGGATGGATGTATTGACTGGACACAGTGATCCATTACATGACCAGGACGAGTGGTTAGATGTATTGACTGGACACAGTGATCCATTACATGACCAGGACGAGTGGTTAGATGTATTGACTGGACACAGTGATCCATTACACGACCAGGACGAGAGTATGTAAGATGTATTGACTGGACACAGTGATCCATTACATGACCGGGACGAGTGGTCACATGTATTGACTGGACACAGTGATCCATTACACGACCAGGACGAGTGGTTAGATGTATTGACTGGACACAGTGATTCATTACACGACCAGGACGAGTGGTTAGATGTATTGACTGGACACAGTGATCCATTACACGACCAGCGCGAGTGGTAAGATGTATTGACTGGACACAGTGATCCATTACACGACCAGGACGAGTGGATGGATGTATTGACTGGACACAGTGATCCATTACACGACCAGGGCGAGTGGTTAGATGTATTGACTGGACACAGTGATCCATTACACGACCAGGACGAGTGGTTAGATGTATTGACTGGACACAGTGATCCATTACACGACCAGGACGAGTGGATGGATGTATTGACTGGACACAGTGATTCATTACATGACCGGGACGAGTGGTTAGATGTATTGACTGGACACAGTGATCCATTACACGACCAGGACGAGTGGTTAGATGTATTGACTGGACACAGTGATCCATTACACGACCAGGACGAGTGGTTAGATGTATTGACTGGACACAGTGATCCATTACACGACCAGGACGAGTGGATGGATGTATTGACTGGACACAGTGATCCATTACACGACCAGGGCGAGTGGTTAGATGTATTGACTGGACACAGTGATCCATTACACGACCAGGGCGAGTGGTTAGATGTATGGACTGGACACAGTGATCCATTACACGACCAGGACGAGTGGTTAGATGTATTGACTGGACACAGTGATCCATTACATGACCGGGACGAGTGGTAAGATGTATTGACTGGACACAGTGATCCATTACACGACCAGGACGAGTGGATGGATGTATTGACTGGACACAGTGATCCATTACACGACCAGGACGAGTGGTTAGATGTATGGACTGGACACAGTGATCCATTACACGACCAGGACGAGTGGTTAGATGTATTGACTGGACACAGTGATCCATTACACGACCAGGACGAGTGGTTAGATGTATTGACTGGACACAGTGATCCATTACACGACCAGGGCGAGTGGTTAGATGTATTGACTGGACACAGTGATTCATTACACGACCAGGGCGAGTGGTTAGATGTATTGACTGGACACAGTGATCCATTACACGACCAGGACGAGTGGATGGATGTATTGACTGGACACAGTGATCCATTACACGACCATGACGAGTGGTTAGATGTATTGACTGGACACAGTGATCCATTACACGACCAGGGCGAGTGGTAAGATGTATTGACTGGACACAGTGATCCATTACATGACCAGGACGAGAGTATGTAAGATGTATTGACTGGACACAGTGATCCATTACACGACCAGGACGAGAGTATGTAAGATGTATTGACTGGACACAGTGATCCATTACACGACCATGACGAGTGGTTAGATGTATTGACTGGACACAGTGATCCATTACACGACCAGGACGAGAGTATGTAAGATGTATTGACTGGACACAGTGATCCATTACATGACCAGGACGAGTGGTTAGATGTATTGACTGGACACAGTGATCCATTACACGACCAGGACGAGTGGTTAGATGTATTGACTGGACACAGTGATCCATTACACGACCAGGACGAGAGTATGTAAGATGTATTGACTGGACACAGTGATCCATTACATGACCAGGACGAGAGTATGTAAGATGTATTGACTGGACACAGTGATCCATTACACGACCAGGACGAGAGTATGTAAGATGTATTGACTGGACACAGTGATCCATTACACGACCAGGACGAGAGTATGTAAGATGTATTGACTGGACACAGTGATCCATTACATGACCAGGACGAGTGGTTAGATGTATGGACTGGACACAGTGATCCATTACACGACCAGGACGAGTGGTTAGATGTATTGACTGGACACAGTGATCCATTACACGACCAGGACGAGAGTATGTAAGATGGATTGGTTGGAATTAGCTCAGCTTCTGTTTTCGCTATCCATGGCACATTGCCGAGTAAACTCCAAATATATTAGTCCTCGACAAACACGGTTGAGCTGGAGTAGTTTGACGGGTTTATTAAACCCTCTCCATTGTCTAATAAATACTCATAAGACTATTCGTCACAAGAAATCTCTGCTAAAAACACATTATTTTATACAAGACATACCTGGGTTCCATCAATCAGGCGGATCTTCAGAATGTAGTTGGTGCCAGCAACCACCTGAAATAAGATAAGATTGTTGTGTTGACGCCAGAGAAACAACTCAGATCTTCTCTTAATAATGAAATATAAACAATATCTGAAACAGTGAAATCAATAAACGAAAACAAACATCAAAATTTGAAAAGATGTTAAAATCGATACTGCAGTCGGAAACACATATTTATAAATTATGTCATAGCACACTATTTACTTTATAAACGGTGACTTAGCCTAGACCTATACCAGGAGACACCAATATTAGGTGAGTTATCGAAGAAGAATTTGTCACATGACAAATTATATCCGCCTTCTAAGATACCTGGGTCTTGGCAGAGATGACTTGATCCAGACTGTTTTGGGCCCCCTGTAGGCCGTTCAGTGTAGTCACAGCAAAGGTCGCCATCCTCTGGATATCTGTACGGTTGACATCGACGGAGGTTGGAGCACCAACAAGCACGGCCCGCTTGCTGCGTGTAGTACATGCATGATGGGTAACACGCTTGTCGTTCAGCCATGCACGTGACCAGATGGTAACAGTGCAGATCTGGGTCTAGAACACATCACCGCAATTGTGTCATAAGGATTTGAAAAAAAGAAAATCAAACACAATCGTGGTGATTCAAGTACAGAATCCGTCCCCATTACATGTGAACAGCCTTAACCATGGCAACACCATCTGAAATGGAGTCTCTGGTTCGAATCCACACATGGTAACATTGTGTTAAGTGCATTCTGGTTGCCCCGCCATATGGATGGGATAGTGTTAAAAGCGGCGTCATCAACATTTGACCCTACTCGTCTGCAACACTTCGCGGGACTCTAAAACACCCCTATCTGCGTCCCATGGAATCGTCTGGACCAACAAGGACAGAAGCAACAACAGTTGGGATGATGTCTCCAGATGTTGATGGGGAGCAGACGTAGTGAATGAGAATGAGAGAGCAATAATAACTATTAACTATTCATGTACATCGACGAATGCTTGTTTTTTACCAGTGGGATGGCCACAGGGAGAGAGAGAGACAGACAGACAGACAAAAGACAGACAGACAGAGAGAGAGAGAGAGAGAGGGGGAGGGGGTATGCACAATTCTTCAGAGGCCGGGATCTTAAGGGCTGAGTCACCCAATAATGAGGACATGTAAGCTTAGTGAGTGCTGGCATATCAGTGTGTAAAAATCTGAAGAGAACTCACCTGCTGTCCGTTCTGTATCTCGATGGTCAGTAAGTAGTTGACGCCAGAGACAACCTGTGAAGAAGAAGAAGTAAAAGCTCAGCATCTGAAACACAACTCCGGTGTTCCGAACTCGGATATAGCGAAGTATAGGCCATCATAATATTGAGTTCAAATAATCAACATTGGAAAACATAGTACAGAACTATAAATCACACGCATTATAGTAAGCTGTGCAATTCCCTCCTGGTGTCGTTGATAAACAGTGAATGTTGTTTAACGTTGCAATTTGCAATTTCCCAGCAATATTATGACGATGGTAAGTAATCGTGTTTGAACCAGGCAAACCAGTAAGCGATAGCATGAGCAACGATCCGCTATCGGGGCCTGATGGCACGTTGTCAGAGCTTGACCAACCCCTCCTGTTGGCTCTTAAACCAAGCTTGGGATGCAGGAGACCTAATCTCCCCCAGAGTCCTCACCAGGTTCCCAACTAATAAAAATAAGGCTGTAATAAGTATGACAATAATAAAAAGACCAACCCCTGGATTTACATGAAATGCGTTAGTTCTCAGAATAGATTATGTTTAGTTGAGTCAAATATACAATTTAATTTATTTTTATATGATGACACCCTAATATATCTTTTTTTTATTCACGGTGCCTAAATTCAATCCCCAAATAGTTTATTGTCCACTTTTTTATAAGCATAAAATCTATTTATTCCGCAAAAACAAATGCTGGACTACCTCTTTGATAACATCAATGTACACTTTGGAGGTAGAACATTTGAGCAACATTTGTGCTCCCCTACTTGCTAATCTGTTTCTCTATGCATATGAATCGGAGTTTCTCTTCGGATTGGTAAAAAGAAAAAAAAGGGTAATTTATCTGAGAGGTTTAACTTTAACTTCAGGTATATCGAGGATCTGATGTTGTTCAATAACAATCAAAGAGCCAGTTCCCTTCCACTGTTTTACCCACCTGAACTAGAAATAAAGGAGACCAGTGAGACCGCCACGTCCATTTCATATTTAGATCTATGCATAAAGATTCAGAGTGACAAAACATTCTCCACAAGACTGTATGACAAGAGGGATGACTTCAACCTTCCAATAGTCAACTTTCCCTTCATGTCTAGCAATATTCCTGCAGCTCAAGCCCGTGGTGTCTACTTTCACAAGTTTTGAGGTTCAATCGAGAATGGTCTCAAAATTGCAAAGAGCGTCATGCAACTCTTGCTTGGAAGTGGTTTGATGAAGGTTGCAACATTCAGGGCCTCAGTTAAGCTTTCAAATATTTTATGGTAGACATGTGGATGACATTTCCAAATTTGCCGCATCAGTGACAAGAATGATGTCTGATGCAATTCCCTATTTTTTTCCCGTTCCCGTGTTTTTTAAGGTGAACAATTAACTTGCCATTGCATGTGTTTGTGACGGTTGCCACCGGTAGGGCAGGGCACGCTCCCCTTTTCGCGAACACCTGGTATCATCACTATTTGATAGTGATTCATAAACGGATACTTATGAAAACAGTCGGAATCACACAATTAACTCTGCTTTTTGGCAAGCATGTCTTATTAATATGGAAAATAGATTGTCGCTTATATCTACACAGCTCTTAGCAATATTCTAACAATATCACGGCGGAGGACACTAGAAATGAGCTTCCGACATTGTACCCATTTCAGGCCTTCGCGTTAACCACTAGGCTACCCCGCCGTCCCTATTTACTGCAGAGGTAAAAACAGACATATAGATACCTACTTGAGTTTTAGCATCCACTACAGACACCAGAGTGTTCTGTGACCCGAGGAGCGTGTTCAGCTGGGTTAGGGCGAAGCTTGCCATCTGCTGAATGTCGTCCCTGTTCACGTCGACAGCCACGGGGCCGCCTATGAGTTGAGACGTGGCTAGTGGTAACACCACAAGGACCAGAGCTAGTATGTTCATTCTTTGTGTAAGTAAAGTGGAACTGTAAGCCCTACGGATATTGACTCCTATATATATGTGAAAACCGTCCCACGTTCAGCTGTTGTGTCCCAAGGTTGGTTGTGTGTGCGTGGTGATTGTCGTCTACTATGTCAGGTGACTCACGGCATCCGAGGTCAGCGATAACGTTTTCTGTTGCTTAATATGAAGTATTACTTTCTACATGCCTGATGAAATGCCAACTGAGCCTAAATCTTAAAACAACACGAATCACTTAGATGAATTTCATTGAATCATTTTACGTTGATATTTGAATGATAGGTAAGTAAAGGTAGATATTCATGTACTCAATTGAATTTTTCGTTTTTAGTTTTAAGGGCATATCGTAGGACAGTGGTGAAAGTCTTAGTATCTGTAGATATGTTTCCTGGGGATCAGTTACCTGCCGATACTGGTCTTATCTCTGACGTAGATTAACCGTGTTTTTGTATGGACTTCGCAACTCCAATACATAAATAAAACATATTCTGATTACAGTTTTAAGTGTATCGGTCACTTAGTGCTGATAGCACGGAAACTGTACTCTGAGTTCGGATCTTTTCCTCTTGTTCTGTGTATTTGCATGATGAGATACAGGAGGCATAACATCAAAACTGTCTTGGTTAACTTGAAGATAATATATTTTAAGAATTCAAACAATACAAACAAAAACATGTTCAAAACAAAAATATGTTTCAATATGTAATTTCAGTATTGATTGTTTTGTTATTGGGGGTTTGGGAAGATTTTAGGTAAGTTCCTAATTAAGAGGTGTCATTTTGCTGGCCCCCTGATCTTCCACATGAAACACGTTATTTAGATGGGTGTCCTTGTTTGAAGAGACAACTGATTCGAGAATCAGTGGAGAGCTGTAGGCAGCGTCGGTGTATGTCTATGGCCTCATTCCATGTATCATTATCATCAGTGCTTCAGGCCTGGGATTATTATCGATTTGCCTCAGTAAATGCTTAAAAACATAAATTATGGTACGATTCCGACTATGTCATAAGCTTATGTGTAGGGGTAGTGCAGTGCGGCGTCAGGCAATAAATACATATATTTTTCTGCAAATTGTGTGGATGGCAGCTGCTACCGGTAGGGCAGGACATGCTTTCTATTTTTGCGACCACCTGGTGTCATCACTGATTTTCAGTGGTCTGTTACGCCGAATAGAATCCGTTTCAAGACTGGTTATTCTTTTGTATTGACGTTTTATATGCACTTGAACGGGGACGATGTTTCTGCTGGTGGACTGAAGTCCCCGAGTTTAAGCACATGATCAGTAGCATGTGATGGAACTGGGTCACTGACATAAAAAATGTTACTTCAAAACTGTCTCCCAAAGGTTATTCTCTTGCATTGAAAGTTTATATATATTATGATCATGAAAGGGTTTTGTCACTTTTATTTGACCTTCATTTGACCTACGTCAGAAGAAATCTCTATGTGTGTATCAAATAGTTACGATACCACGTGTTTGCAAAAAGGTGAGTCTATCCTACCCCACCCTTGGCACCATCACAAACACATGCAAAGGCAAGTCCATTGTTCAGCTGACCCGTGGAGATCCAGGTTAGAGTTGTTCTTCAGCAACCCATGCTTGTCATAATAGGCGACTAATGGTATCAGGTGGTTCAGGCTCGCAGACTTGGATGACGCATGTCATCGTATCCCAATAACGTGGATCCATGCTCATGATATCAATCACTGATACAGACTCGATTATTTACAGACCGCCGCCATATTACTTTAGCTGCAGGTATAACGATGATGTGATATCATTCTATAACAATCAAATAGTCAATTACCTTCCACTGATTTACCCACCTGAACTAGAAATAAAGGAGACCAGTGACACTGTGAGACTGTATGACAAGAGGGATGACTTCAACCTTCCAATAGTCAACTTTCCCTTCATGTCGAGCAGTGTTCCAGCAGCTCCAGCCTCTGATGTCTGCATTTAAAGTACAATTGAGCATGCTCTTTCTAACAAGATCTCAAAGAGCATCATACAACTCTTGCTCAGAAATTGTTTGATCAAGGTTACAACATTCAAGACCTCAATAAAGCTTTCAGAAAGTTTGATGGTAGACATGTGGAGGACATTTCCAAATTTGACGCATCAGTGACAAAAACTATGTCCATGCAATTCTCTATTTTGACTTGTGCCACCAGTTGGGCAGGATAGCTCACCTTTTTGCGAACACCTGGTATGATTACCATTCGATAGTGATTCATAAACACATGCTCATGATATAGTCGGAATCGTTTATTCGACTCTGCTTAATGCAGAGATAGTGGATATGGTTTTGTCGCTTTATTTATTGTAATATGGCAGTGTATTGTATTGTTGTGATTCGGTAGACGCTCATTCCATTGTGTTTGGACAGTGATCAGTCGTCAGGAAGGTACTATATTTAGACGCTAGTGTGGCGTGCATACTTCCGGTAAGCCGGTAGTGCCGATAGACTGGTGAGGGCTCTGTGTACACATTTCCAGTAGCTAGTGAGGCTGTTAATAAGGGGACAAGAGCGTGTTTACGTCTCTCTCACGAATTTCATCACATCGGAACTAGCTTTCACGTGAGGATCACTCATCATCCCCGATTCCCTGTCTAGCCCATCTCGGAAGCCTGACCACTGTCATCGCTGGGTGAATATATCTTATTATCACTGACTTTTGCTATCACCACTGTATTTTTGAATTTAATACTAACCACTGCCATCATATTACATACTGTCAATGAATATTGTACCACCACTCTATTGTCTACTGTCATTGAATTTTCTGTGCCGTAATTTGTATTGATTTGTAAACTTAGTTTATTTTGTTACATATTTATTGATTGCATACCACTTGTTGTTTGTTGGTTGGTTTCTCACTAAGTTCTAACCCAGATTTCTGGGTTAATTTCAATTTGGGAATCGACACATAACTTTTTTCGAAAAAACTTAATTGAGCCCCTGTTTACGTTGGAAACTTAATTGAGCTTCTGAACATTAAAAAAAGATGCTGATCTCAAACCAGAATCCGCCCGTCCAGTGGCATAACGTTTTCATAATATTTACATGTTTCAGACTGTGACATCCAGTCACCTTGACTTTATATGCCTCGTCAAAGTTCGAACAAAAATACTCAAGTTAAAGGTTTTTGACATCTACTCAACATGGAGTTACCTTGACCTTCAATAAAGCAAGCTATTGCATTGTCATTTCATGAGTGAATGACCTTCAGACTGACCTTGGCATTTGATACAGTCATTACATATGATGTGCGTTTTCACGTCTTTTTAATTCCGAGTGACTCTCAGCTCGCACTTGTGAAATCAAATCAAGGGTATTTGGCCTAGAAGTTTAACTTAAGCTTCAGGAACAGCGTTGTCCATGGTCAAATGGCCAAATTTCCTTCCAGCCGTTGGTGGGACATTTCACAGCCAAAAGTGTTTCTGTGTTTTATTTCAGGTGAACCTTTGACTTGCCTTGCATGTGTTTGTGATGGGTACTTATAAGCAGAAGAATCTCTGCACTTATACACAGCAGACGTAATTCAAACTTAACGTATCGCCTTTATTTGTTGCAACAAAATCAGAAAATGCACTATCGCGTAACTGGTTTGAAAGAGCACTGCTTACCTTTTTGCGAAAACCTGTTGTCATCGCTGATTGTCATATAATTTTCACACTTTATTTCACCTTCAATGTCACCCAAACATATGTCAGAAGAAATCCCTATGTGTGTACAGGAGGTATATCGGGTACGAAGTTTCTTACATCAACCATAAGCGTGCTGTTGGGAAAACCTATTGTGGCTGTGGCTGTGGCTGTTGCTTAAGAATTATTTGTCCACATGGTAACTCAATCGAATGAAATCGCATTGCATTATATTACAGGTCACCGGAGCAGCGTGCTTACAAACTGCCTTCTCGAGTTCATAAAAGTTTGACAAAAAGCCATTCACTTGTACCACATGTTTCTGTCTTTATTTCAGGTAAACGTTTGACATTCCTTTGCATGTATTTGTGATGGGTATCACCGGTGGGAAAGGGTACGAAGTAACTCTGCCTGTTTGCATATTGACATTGCCATCTCGTCCTATCGGGTGTACATTTATAATCAGATTATTGGTCATAATGCAGAAATACAGACCGGCAGATTTTATTCAGTATAAGGTCAATTGCCCAAAAATACACACAGTATAGTTATTGTCATTGTATAAATTACTTTATTGAAACATAATATCAGCTTTTGTCATATTTTGTCAATGATTTGCTTCTGTTTTTGTTTACATGATAAATAAACACTCAGTCTCTATTCTTTGAGATTATTATTGTAGGAAAATGGATACAGATTTGTTTTATAAATGTACATGATATACCTTCTTCTTATTTTTATACCAGTGTGACATGTGAAGAATACATGGATATCATATTAATAGAGATTTGAATCGTTTATGATACCATTGGTGATGATCAGACGCATAACTGCATAACATGTACTATCTGACGTATCTCCGTTTGAAAACAACTATAAATTAATTAACCCTGGTTCTGTTGCAAGGGATATCCTGAATGCATATTCTTAACATAATAAATACCAGTTAAAGTTAACACAGCTAGTACAATCAAATAGTATTTAGTGCAAAATGTTTATTTGTAAACAAAAACATAAACTATAAAAAATAACAACACTATGCATTGACAAGAAAACAGCAAATCATTTGAAGAAGAGAGCACAGTCCGTGGACAGGTTTGAACCCATCTGAAAAGATATTCAAACACACAATAAATAAAATGTCAGCTTCAAATCATTTTCGGTAATGAAGAGGAAACAAGTGTTTCTTTTTAAAATTTGTTTAAAATGTTCTGATAATTATATATGTGGAATGCATTCCTGACACAAAACACCTTCATCTGACATGTTCTTCGTCCGACCAGAAGAACTATACACAAAGAAAAAAGTTAAGCGCACCCTGATATATTTCATTATTGTTTGGTTTCAATATTTGTAACAGTCATGAAAGATATAATTACGGGAAGAATTATGTTTTCTCGAGAAGATGCGTCATGCGTGACGAAAGCTCACGTGCAATGCATGGTCTGCCCGTGCAGC